AATATAATTCGAATATGTTTTTTTGGTTTTTTCCTACACAAAATGGTGATAAAAATGCTCCTGTTCTTCTATGGCTTCAAGGTGGTCCAGGTGCACCATCATTATTTGGTTTATTTAATGAACATGGTCCTATACAAGTTAATGATGATGGAACTTTAACGGAACGACCGATAACATGGAATTCATTATATAATCTTTTATATATTGATAATCCTGTTGGTACAGGTTATAGTTTTACATCAAATGATCAAGGTTATGCACGTTCACAAGATGATGTTGCACGTGATCTTTATTCAGCATTAACACAATTTTTTCAAATTTATACTGATTATGCATCAAATCCATTCTATGTTACAGGTGAAAGTTATGGTGGTAAATACGTTCCATCAATAAGTTATAAAATTCATGTTGAAAATCAAAATCCACAAGTTAAAGTTAAAATTAATTTAGTTGGACTTTCAATGGGAAATGGATGGACTGATCCGTATAGACAATATGTATATGGACCATTACTTTATCAGGTACTAATGCAAAAGAAGAATATCTCAGTCTTGCAGTTACTTGATAGAAGATCGACTTGACATCGAATTTTCGAGCACTCTATATCTATTAAGTAGCAAAGTTGAGAGATTACTATTAGAGGAAAAGAGTAGATTTGTTTGTTTTTTTTTGTGATTCGGTCAATATCTTTGAGATTAATTATCTAAAAATGTTTTCGTTTACTATATAATCTTAATAATAAAATATTAACATAACTTTTAGATTGGTTTAATTGATGATAATCAATTATTTTATATCAATCTTCAATCAGATTTAGTTCGTTATGCTATAAGTCAAAAACGTTTTACTGATGCATTTACAATATCTGATTCATTAATTGATGGTGATCTTATTAATACAACATCATATTTTTCAAATGTAACAGGTTTACGAGCTTATTATAATTATATACAAACTGATGTTTCTTCATCATTATCAAATTATGTTAAATTTATAACAAATATTGATCGTCGTCGACAACTTCATGTTGGTAATTTAACATTTCATGATGATAATAAAGTTGAAATTATGCTTATAAATGATGTTTTTCAAAGTATACCATCAGAACAATTAACAACTCTTTTTAATAATTATAAAATTCTTATTTATAATGGTCTATTAGATATAATATGTGCTGAAAGTTTAACATTAAATTGGATTGTTGATTTACAATGGTTACATGCAAATGAATATAAAAATGCAAGTCGACAAATATGGAAAGTTGATTCAACAGATAATCAAATAGCTGGATATATTAAAATAATCTATAATTTTATGTTAGCTTCTATACGAAATGCTGGACATTTAGTACCAGGTGATCAACCAAGAGCTATGCTTGATTTATTACAACGTTTTATTAAACTTACTTTTGTTAAATGAAAAAAACGTTTTTCATAATCACATAAAAATTGTTTATCAACACATGTAATTTGATAAGAACCATAGGTTATTGTTTGATTAAGTTCGGGCCAATATTGATGACATTTTGTCTTTGAAAAAAATAAAAATAAAAATCTTTAGGAGCATATCAAATGGAAATGAAAAACGTACTTTAATTTCTTATAATAAACTATCTCTCTCTATATGGTCTGATAGTAGAGACTGTACTTCATTCACTCAGGGTTTTTTTTTGGTATGACCCAGAATGTCAACAGATCTATGTAATTCGTAAAAGGCAGAAATGCTAAACTTATTATCGAATTGTTTTCAATCTAAACAAATTCTTCTATCAGTAAATGTAAGTCTTACAATACTAATTTGAAGTGCGAATCATAAATCAATGCATCAATATTTTATTACCAAAACTTAAGAGACGGACCAACTAATTTGGTTTCGTCCTGTTAATAACATCGAGTATTAATTAAAGGGATTAATTGGACTAAGTTAAAATTTCGAAATATGTCCTGATAGGTGCCTATCAGCTTCGTAACTCTAGTGACCATAACATCATATTATATTTGTCTTCAATATATATTCTTTTCTTTAATTAAAGACTTCATGAAGTTGATTACAGCATGATATAACAATTCTGAATCATTTTAATCGCTTAGACTTTGTATAATTAAGTCATATCATGCCAAATCCGAATAAGTAGACGAACGTGGTATTATTGTCATGCCTTTTGATATCATCTCTCATTAGAAACGAGTAAGTACTCCAGAGAAAACGAAGAAAAAAAGAAGAGAACACGTATTGAAGACAAATATAATAGGATGCTATCGTCGCATGTCATAACAAATAGCTCTCATCGGAACTTTGTTATTATAATATTAGTTGAAGAATGATGTATTACCACAGAAACATAGAGCATCATTAATCTTATTAGTACGTTCATTATCAATTATTTTATGTTCTAATGAGGAAACTATCCGAACTAATACCTATCGTTTGAGCTTCAAAGAAAGTCTCAGTAACATTAGATAAAGGTCATAAAGATTCGTACTCACAATACTACTTACCATTCTGGATGCACCTTCGATGATATTTGTTAACATAACAATAGATTTCAATTTAAGTTCCCATATCATACGCCAGAAATCTTCACAAGTATCAAATTTAGGACCTATATAAGAATATCGGTCGATTGTTTGACTTTTGTTTTGTTTTTAAAATATCAATATTACCTTGAGTAGCAATAAATTTATTTGAACATTTGTATCCCTATTCAATTAAAAAAAATTTTTTTTTTTTAAAAACATATCAATAAAGATTTAATTAACAAACTGAAATATAATTTCCATTAATATAATCCGTAGCTGGATCATCATTAAGTAAATTAAGAATAACACGAGTAGTATCAATAGGTAAAATATTAAGAAAACGATTTTTTGAAGCTACGATTGTACGAGTTGCTGATGTACATGGTAATTCTTCAAAATTAGGAATACTCTAATGAGACAAAAAAACAAAAAATACATATATGAAATTCATCGAAATTTCTACATACTTGAAATTCAATAGAAAACGCTAAATCATCAAGTGCATGTTTTTGCATATAAATATCATACAATTGATCAATAGGAAATTCTTTTGGTATTGTAAATTCTTCTATATCAAACAAAAAGAAACAAATGTTTTATTCATATGTTGTTGTTTTTTTTGTTTGTACAATTTAAACATACTATGATCATTATTTAATAAATTATTATTAGTTTGTCGTCGAATTTTTGTTGGTGAACAACATGTTGTTATTGATTTTGAAGATGATCGATTTCGACGATCTCGATTATAAGAATTAATTGAAATATTAGCTAGTGTTGGTTTAATAAAAGATGACTGATGACTACCCATATATTTATTATGACTAACTATTTCACTCGAAAATTTTTATCTTTCCGTGTTAAACAACAACAACAAAAAAGAAAAACATCAATAACACGTCATCGTACTAATCCAGTCCCGACACAAACTAATCCTTTTGAAGCTTACTGTGAATCGGTGAATAAGATAATGGTGTACTGTCACGAGATCGTTTGGTTGTCGATAACGTATGTATACAAGGCAATTGGAAGTAAGCATAAGCACTCTTGATAGGCTGTCTATATAGAGAAAGAAAAAAAAAAACAGAAGAAAACAATCTCATAATTATGTATTTTTCTTTTTACCTAAGAAAAAATGTACAAATAAATGCAAGAAAAACTAAACCACTAAAACTACAGACGAATATAATAGCAAATATTGTAGTATTAGAAGATTCTTTTTTATCAAGTTTTTGTTTAATTGATGGAAATAAAAGTAAACTAGGATTGATTGTTGAACTATATTGTATATAAGTATTTGATGTATTTTTAAATGTAATTATTTGAAAATTTAATGTTGTATTTGAAATATTTACTATTGGTTTTACTTGAATAAGAAATGTTTTTGATGATGGTAATGCTATTTGCTGTTGTGTATTGTCTTAAATAGATAAACAAAACAAGATATACGTTCTCTTAATCATCGAATAAGATTAATAGCAATGCTCTTAAGGGAATCCCCTTTTTTTAGGCCTCAAATTTTTTTTGGTTTTTTTTTCTGCTCTACATGTGCTTTCAAGCGTCTCCACTCTACTGGTGACATTTTGAGAACTTAAATATAGTCCTAAATCAAAAATAAGATCGAAAAGATAAAATGATTGCCGTAGAGGTATAGCACACGTTTTTTGCTTCTTTTCCGGTTTTCTAGAAACTAAGTTTCTCAGCAGAAATCTACACAATCGTCCCCGTTTCTCAGGCATAGTACATCCGATCAAGCTAATTTTTTTTCTACAGATATCAGAGACATTGTAGGATGGCTACATTCTTTTTTGTTTTGAAAAATATTACACCGCTGAGTTTTTTTCAGGTCTCACAAGACAAGCACTAGCGAAAAAAAATATGCGTTTTTTAGGGTACTCTTCGTATTTGAGCTTTTTCTGTTCGAACAGAATAAGATAGAAAGAAACCAAAAACGATAGGCACTCTAAACAATGTCTAATATCTGTAAAAATAAGTTTCAGCTCTGTAGGACATGCTGCGGCTGAGACATGGGGGCGATTTGGAGATTAATTTTTAGACATTATGGCTCTAATATTTCCTTGAAAGAAGCATTGCGGAATTTTGAATATATAACGACTTTTACTCTATACATCGAGATCTCTCAGCTGTAAAACTTTCAAAATTCTCTCATGAGTCGTTCTCGAAGCACGTTGAAAAAAGGGGAGGGGGAATCCCCTTAAGTTAGTTTTAAAATAAATGTTGTATTTTGATACTTGATTAACAAAATTTCATTGAAATGATTATCACATTAAGATCATATAGATACATATGATATATATTTGAAAAACATTGTAAACTCAATAAAAACAACTTTCCGAGATTTCATGAGCGATAATCTTTCTAGAGTCCTGATTTTGCATAAAATTTCTTTTCTTACTGAATTATTAATGTAACATGTATACATGAAAATGATATTTATTCCTACATAGGATTAAATTCATCTTAAGTAATATGAAATTTAATATCCTTCTCCTTCATATATTCGAAAAACAAAATATGTAATATATCATATGATAAAATAAATATTTTACTTGTTAATAATAATTTTAAATTATATTTTGTTAAATTTTGTCGATTTGCAATTAATTTTTTAAGTATTTCAATTGAATTTGATTTTTTCCATGAATATGAATTTGTCGTATAATTTAATAAATATTTACTTGATAATAATTTATTATGGAATGTACTAGTCGGAATATGAATAATTCCATTCATTGTATTAATTAAAATTAATAAAATGATAAAATAAAAAAACATTTGTATATTTTTGTCAATCATATTATTGTCGAGTCGATATTCATCTATAAAGAATTTTATATGAACTACAAATAAGCTCCCTTCTATAATAGTATATCTATAGTATAGCAAATAAGAATTGTATTGCATAAAATGAAGGCCAACAACTTGACCGATTACTCACCTTCTATATTTTACAGTATGTTTTATATGACAATTACGTCATCATCTTTCTCCGGATATATCAATTAGAACATATCGCTTTAGTATAAGCTTCCTCCTTCTTTTTATTTGTTGCACGTACATATACATATATCTTTACTTATTGATCGATAAATGCGCATTATATCGTTCCTTTTTCAATAGAGAATAATAACGAACAATTAACCTCAATACGGTGGGAATTAAACAATTCAAACTATGATAGATGAGAGAATAATGGATCATTCGGTTTTTTTTTCTATTATCTATCAATCATACAATTAACATGAATGACATATCGAGGTCACCTTGAACAAAAAAAAAAAAAAGAAAGAGGAGGCATGAAACACTCTCTTTTCATTGTTATACTATAAAACAAAAAAGAAAAAGAAAATTTCCATTTTCTTTCAATCTAAACAAAGAGATTAATATTTTATTATTGAGGTGATACATTTTATACATAAATATACATCAAAATAATCAATTTTTATTCATATCAAAAGTATACAACAAGTTTGGTTACTACATACGAATTGTTATTTGAATCATTCCTACTATTCACTTCGTAACAATTGACCATTACTTAATCATGACATATATATATATATATTCATATGTGTTTCACTAATTATAACTGACACTCAATTGAATGTAGTACATTTTATATTGTCGTTTCTTTGAATAAAACAAAAACTATTCGAATGCTTATTAGTATACTTTATGTTTCGGTATATTTCATGTTTCAATATTAAAATTATAATTATACACAATTATTATTCATAAAAAAAAAACATATAGTGTCAATTTATTTGATTTTTCAAAAAAAAATAAAATATAAATAGATTTATTAATATAGAAAAGTAAAATGAATTTGGACATCAGCGGATGAAGTCCTTCAGTCTTATTAATCATCATCATCATCATTCTCTTCACCTTCATATGGAATACTATATATGATATAATCAGTTGGTCGTAGTAAATGATGAAATTCATGAAAAATTTTTTCATTAGATACTTCACGAATAAGACCTTCATTTTTCATATATTCATGAATATTCTATAGAACAAAAAAAAAAAACAAATTAATTTAATAAAATAAAACATATAAGTTTATTTTATTCTTACTAATTTTGTTGAAGAAAGTCGTAAATCAACAAAACTTAAAGGCCAATAATCACGAGATGATTTGGGATAAAATGTTGCATCAACAAATTTTTCAAAAACAAGTTTTTCAAATAATTCTATAGCTTTAGGTTGATCCGACCAAACAGTACCATTATAAGGTAAAGCCTAAAATATAGAAAATAAATTTTTAAGAAAACAAACAAAAAATATACTACGAAATTTATTCACCTTAGCTAACGAACATGGAACAGCTTGAGCTGGTAAGAATGTAAATTTTCGTCGAATTGGATAAATATTAATTGAATCAACTTTCTCCCAATTACCATAATCAAGATAAACAACATCATATTTATTAGCTATGTTCGTCACTAAAAATAAAAACTAGATATATTGAAGAATAACATAGATAATTATTTTACTTTGTGGAACTGCAATAATTCTTGCACGATAAAATTGATTATCTTTAGTATATTTAACTATACAGTAATCACCATATTTCCATGATGATGACGCATTAATTTTAGGATTGTTCGAATAGTATTCACTAATAAAAATTTAAAAATTAAATCAATATAAAAAATAAAATAATATGATTTACTTGATTTGTTTTTGTAAATCTCGATATCGTTCTTCAAAATGTGCAAGTTGAAGAAAAAATGCTGATGGATGATCAATATGTGAAACAAATGCTTGTTCATAGCATTTCATGCTCAAAACAGGAGTACGACGAATACGTACTGAAAATATCAATATAGATAAATAATTTATAGTTTAAATGCTTTTTTTTTATAAAAAAAAAAAAAAAAAGAATCTATGTTTATTCAATAGATTCAGCTAAATTTCTATGTAATACTTTTTCATTATTTTGAATTATACTAATATATTGGACATAACAAGCTTAATTGCTAAGATTATACTTTATTACTCGTGAGAGAACTTTGCAAGATATCAAATCGCCTTTTTTTTTTGCATATATTTAAAATTTGAAGTCGAAACTCACAAAAAAAAAAAATTTCACTAAAATTTCGATATCTCGAGAATGAAGGTTTGTATTTAGTTGAGTTACTTGGTTTATTTTGATCGAAATTTTCATTTATATGATCATCTTCTTGGTCAAGTGGTGTATCTCTTGATAATGATGATGAAGCACCATTAGTTGTTATGCTATCAACTGCTGATGTTCGTTCAGAAGTCGGCATTGTTCCTCGACCAGAATCAACAGTTGATGCTCGAAATAGATCATTCGTTGGTGTTCGACTCGAATCATTTTCCGATTCGAGATGTCGAACAGATCGACGATTCGAATCCATTTGGTATTTATCTACAGCATAAATATGACTTGGTTTTTAAAAGATACTAATTAGAATTTCTATATACACAAAAGATCATACACACAATAACAATAATGTGCGTAAGAAAAATAGTAAAGAAAAACTCCACGTCACATTCTTGGAGTAGTTATTTTTTTTTTATATCTTTTGACTAGTAGTATTTTATTTTGATTCAATTTCTATCATTGTTCTTCTATTCAACACCAAAGATAAGAAGCACAATTAAGTTTTATAATGAGATAAAGATAAAAAAAAAAATAAAGTAAAGATATTGGCAAAAACAAGCACTTGAACATATTTTGATTTCATATATATTTGTTGCCAATGCAATAAAAGTATCAGTTGTAGAACAACTTTTTATTATTATTATATAAGATTTTTGATTGACTAGTAAATTTTAGTTCATCGATAAAGGATAGAATAGAAAAAAGAAGACTATGTCAATATCATTACCGTTTTCATTTATTACACAATTTACTGAAGTAACAATAAATGATTGGTCTTAAAAGTGAGATTATTTCAAGTATCATACTCATTGGTTGTAGAATATTAAAAAAAAGAAATATTCATTGAAATGACCATCGAAATGAGAATAAATCATTTTATGATCGTGATTGTTTCGAATAAGACGAGCAGATCCATCATTAAGAACAGTTTCTGCTACATTCTATAATGAATAAATACATATTTTGTGTATTTATTGCTATTACAATCGATGAATAAATGTGCTAAAAGAGGTTTTGTTTCAATTAGGTTCAGATTTTTTTTAAGACAGATCAATACTGCTTGAACGATACTAAATAATAGAGTTTTTATTTACCTGATTATTTGCGTTGATATTAAGAAAAAATAATGGCTATCATTTTTTCATTTGAAAAGAAAGTTATAGAGCCGAATAATATTGATGCATTATAGGATTTGATTAGTAGATAACCTAATTTTTTGCGTATATTGTTTGCTGGTATTTGTATTTTTGTGAGAGAAACCAGTTTCGAAACTTTTCTCTTCCGAAAGGTCTATTGAATAAATAGGTGTAAACAAAATATATAAAAGAATCAACTTACATAAGAACGTGTCATAGTGATGCTTTATATTTTCGATTCTGTAAACTCATTTTGTGATGGATACGTATTTTTATAGGGTTTTCATTGAAAATTTCTCCAGTCAACAATCATAATCAAACATAGCTTATCTAGAAACAAATATTCATTAACGTTAAAAAAAAAATTCTAATTAAACTTACGTATATGATCGGTTTTAATAATTCTAGCTCGATAAAATTCTGAATATCATTTTCATTATGAAAGACAAAAATCGATGGTATGGAAAACTACTTGTTTTTTTGCTTGAATAAAATCAACTATTGATCGGCAATAAAACAAAAAAGATAAGAGAAAAAAAATACTCTCACTTCATATCGTGATGCATTTCTTAAAATGTCAGATCATCATCAGATATTTAAATAAAAACAGCTGATGGATTATCAAGATAAGTTATCAGACAATTAGAATATCGTGTATATTCTTCACATATTTTGTATTGTAAGATTGTTATCAACAATGAAAATAGAAGAAGGAACTTTACTTCAAGAACCAAAAGCGTTGTAATTGCAAGTGTTTTGTAAGCACAAAACTGTTTATCATTTATTATTGATAATGACGAAAGTCGACTTGCAACATCTTTATCAAAAACTATAGATGATAGTGCATTGCTCGTCGATGGTCATGTGTTTGATAAGAAAGCTAATATGGTTTTTTTGAAATCGATGGTTGAAAAATACATTCTACTTGCAGCTCCATTAATATCTTTTGAAAAAATTATTATTAAAAATAGAAGTCGTCAAAATACATTTTGGCTTTTGAATTCTACTTAGTTTTTCTGCAGCTAATTGACCAAATGTTTGTTAATAACCTTCTTAATGTTCTCGACTTTGGCTGATCAATAAAACGAGCTAAACTATAGAAAAATATTGAAGATTAATTTCGAAATATAAGAAAATTGTATTTTAGTGAATTCAAGTTTCAAAAAGATTTTGTGACTTTTTATTATATTTGTTTTACTTTCGTCTTTGGAACAAAAAACTAATGCAATCTTTGCATATTATGGTTCAGAGCATCAAAATACTTTGTTCATTCAAGTGATTCGAAATCAACAAAATCAAAATGCATTTGATAGAAATCAGATTTTAATATTAGAATTAGAGAAATGACTGCACTAGAATGAATTCGACTCACATACATATCGATAGAAGTCATTGTTGTGTGTACCATTGTGTAGATGACGAGTGAAACATAAGTCGATTGTCCAATAATTAAAGAATGATTCGCTGTTGAATCTTCTTTGATAGAAGTTATTTTAAAGAAATAATATGTCTGGCATTGTGTTGCTGTTGTTGTTTTTAACAGTCTATCGAGAAACGAATTTATTCAAGAATAGATTTTCGATTTGTATCAAAGTATAAAAATATTTTCTGCCAGGTAAGCAATTGAATAAAGATCGATGATGGATGATCAATGTGAGAGACAAAAATGTTGTTGTACTGGTAGCTCGCTTGAACTGGTTGTTCATATTTGATGATTTCTAAAATAAAAGATCAACATAATTATATGTTAACATATAATGATCTGTTTTATTTGTAACTAAACAAAGACTAAAAGGACATATACTTAGAAGTTGTTGAGACATAATTTACGATAGAAACGAATAGAAGATCACTTTTGCATAAATTTAGAACGGAACCTTTTGCACTGCTATATAAGAATATTAACCGTAGTCGAGTTAAATTATGACTATTATTGCCCAACCAGCAAATCTTAACTATGAGCTACCCATGACATGCACAAACCGATATATTCTAATTTTTAGGTATTTACAATGGCATATGTTGTGTGACTATAACCCATGTCGCCACTTTTTTAACGGCTGCGTCGCAGTTCCATCGTAATCAAACATATGGGTCAGATATTTGACAATACATTTAAAATCGATAAAAAATATACCATAGAAAAGAAACAGAGGATTGCTTTCAGTATAATTTATTTAAATGTAGTATAATAAAAAGTGGTATTTCTTTTGTTATTATGTTATTCAAAGTAAAATTCTATGTCGTTGATTGGTGTCAAGATATCATTCCAACATTAATTATGACATATTGTTATACCAAGTATATCGATCGTTTTGTCAAGTGTGATCCATAAAACTTCCATATAAATTATGCGCTGTGTTTCATACTAAAGCGTTGATGTTAAATTTAATATATACAGAACGTGCAGATTGACACCAGTTGTGTATCATTATAATAATGGTCGTAAGTTTTCAAAATGATATTGACATGGCTCGTTTCCTACTTAAAACAAAAACTATAATACAAAACTTGAATATTTTGCATCCTAAAATTTGGAGGTATGTTCAGATTTCCGAAAAAAGAAATTACCCATATTTTTGAAATTTCCATCAGCTCGATTACTATATAGCGGTGTAAATCAAAAGTTTTTAAACATTGGAAATTTCTGTAATTTCAGAAATTTCGAAAATTACATCATTTTAAGAAGTAACGTGCAATTCTGAACACAAATACTTGAAATCTCCAAAACTTCCGAAATTTTCTTTTTCGGAAGTCTGAACACTGCTGAATATTTGATATATCTCAAATCAGTGAATATTTTCATGTAACATAGCAACAATAGTTATGTAAACTAATCATCAAGGGTTACAAGAACTGGTTAGATTTGATGCAAACTTGTTCATACTATCAATCACAGCGATCACTAATACATTTTGTCAAATACTTTAAACTACTAAAAATTTTGATTTCTTTATGCTATTCGTGAATAAAGCTGTTGCAATGCTGTATGTATTGGTATATGATTGTGGAAAAATTCTTCAGTCGATCATTTTCAATACGATACTTGAGACAGACTAACTAAATACATATTTAGCTAAAACTAATCAGAGAAAATTATTATACGTGTTTCTATTTCGAAACTGTTATAGTTTGATTATGATAAATTTGATTTCAATCATAAAAGTATCTCATTTCAGACCTCAATTCATGATGGAAAAATGAATAAGTATATGAAAATACCTTTGAGTTGAGATTGATTGATTGTATCGAGTTCTGTTGTTTCCATATCAATATTGGAATGGAGAAAATCAAAATTCACGCCATTTTCTTAGCTAATAAAAGCTTAACTCATCTGAAAAAAATATAGAAATCTTTATAAACAAATTGCAAAAAGATTTTGATTTTTAATCGAAAGATAAAGCTAAGTAATCTAGCGATCGATAATGTATTCGCTGCATACACAAAAAATCCTAAAGTAAAAATTTTCCCAATGCTGTCATTTCCACTTTCACAGAGCCAAAAAACGACACATTGCTCCATTTTTATCACCAATGATATCGTCAAACAAAAAATAGTTTTGAAAAATATAAAGCTGATTAGATGAATAATAGTAATATGATATTTATTAATATTACTCACATGCATGCATTTTTTATTTTACTGGATTGCATGAGTTTTTTCTTAAAAAAAAAACATGAGTTGTAGATGACGCTATTTGTTGATGTAAGAAGGTTATTATTTTATTTTCAATCTTAAATTGTAGCCGAGGAATTATGGAAGACTACCTTTAAAAAAACCAGTCTTTCAAGAGACCATTTTTTGCATCATGATTGATAAATGTGTCAAAAATGATGATATTTCATTCTTGAGAAGGTAACCGCAGAAAAATGAAAAAAAATATTTCGAGAGAAATATTATACGAATTCACATATATATTGTAAATGAATTCATGATTATAATAGTGATTTTATAGAATCCTTACTAAAAAAATAGTACATGAGACAATATAATAGTAATTAATTTACACATATTAGACAATTTAAAATGTCTGAAATATTAAAAACTATTTTTTAATGAAAATTTACAAAAAATCAACCTACGTTTATTCAGTCTTCGTATCACTTATTTGAACTCTCAAGAAATTCTCAACGAAGACTTTTCAATCACGATAACAAGGTTTTTTTTCAAAAAAATATGCTTCATTTATTTCCTTTAAACAAAAAGTAGGCACATCTGCAATAACCTAGCAAAAAAAAGTGAAAAACCATTGCGCATTGACACATGCTATTCAGGACTTCCAATTTCACATGTATGAGATCACACAAATATCACCTTCTCGTCTATAATATACAAAATGAAAAAGAAAAAAAAAAAAATGAAACTCCTGAATGTTTCAAATAAGTTAATTCTCGTTTGTTGAATTGTTTTATGGCAGACCTAAAATGAACATCAAACAGCTAAAATAATAATATTATTAATTTCTTTTTTCTCATATTAAACACTTACTATTATTATAAATATCCGAATCAACTACTGCTACATTATACAAAATATATTCCATTGGTGTAAGCTTATCATTAAAATGCAATGCAATTTGTTCATTTCGAGCTGGCATTATATATGGTGACAATTTCGGATGTTGAGTAATAGACTAAAATAGATAAAAAAAAAAATCAATAAAACATATTTTTAAAAATAATTATATTCACATATACCTGACCATCGAGCAGTACTTTAACAAAATGAAGTGGCCTAAAATCAAAAAATAAACAGACATAATAGATAATTATAAGTTAAATTAATTTTTTATTTAATTACCATTGTTGACCAACACTTTGTTGAAAATGAACTTCAACAATACGATTTTTAACAATCATATTAAATACATCTGTTGCTTCTTGAGTCCAAAAATTTTCATTACTTGGAAATGCCTTTTATAAAAAAAAAAAAACAAAAAATAATTAAATATTTCATTAGAAATTTTTACTTCATTTAATGTACAAGCAACTGTCATAGCTGGTAATCGTGTTAAAGATTCAATTAATGGATAAATTTCATTCGGTGATTTGGATTCTGAATTACCATAATCAATATAGACAATAAGTACAGATTCATCTAAAATCAAAAAAAAATTTTTTTTTTTCTTGAATATATTTCTATTAATATAAATATACTATTATTCAAAACGACTCGAGCTCGATACCATAAATGATCTTCACTAAAACGTGCTACACAAAAATCACCAATAGATATATTTTGTAATGGTACAGTTGTATTTGATGGTTTACTATAATAATTACTAAATATAAAATAATAAAATTATCATATATATATTTATTTATTTTTACTTCATTTCAATAGACATCATATTAAATTGTTCAGTAACACGTGGATCTTGATTTGAAACAAAAAATGCTGATGGATGATCAACAATAGGTATATCAGCATTACGCCATATTGTACCATTTGGTATAACTTGCATTTTAACTCGAACTTTATTATCAGTTATATTTATTTGATTAATTAATGTAGCTAAAATGATACAAAAAAATTATTTAAAATAAGAAATTTATTATTGTTAAACACCCACACACATACATACATGAATATGAATCTATTGAATTTGAAATTCGTTGTTGATGACCATTCATTGATATATTTGAATTAATTTTTGTTGATAATGATGGATATTGAGATATTTGTGAAGTTATTGAATTTTGTGGTGATAATTTTGTTTGTTGTATATCAATATTATCTTGAATAGATAATGGTCGATGAAATGCTGATTGTTGTTCTATTGTTGGTTTTATTGGAATTGTTTCACTAAATAATGTTGATGTATTTCTTGCTGTAAATGTATTTGTTGTTGAATTTGTACCAAGATTTAATGAACGTGTTGTATTTGGAAATATATTTCGTTGTAAACGAATACCATTATTAATTGATTCATTTTTAGTCATAGATACATTTGATGGAATTGGTGTTGGTAGACATAGAGGAATATTTAATTGACGTTTATCATTATTAATTGTTACAATATTATTAATAGATGTATGAAGACTATGTAAAGATTCTGTTTGTAATTCTACAACGGCAAGTTTTTCAGCAACATTTAAAAGAACTTTATTACATTTATTAACTTTTTGTGCTATTATAGGTGTTATATTTGAATCAAATTCAATTGAACGTCGTTTATCAATCCATGTTTGTTTAACTTCATCAACATATGATGTTACTTGTATTAAACGATTATTAAGACGATCACACAAAAAAACAATATTATCTATATCATCAAATAATTCAATTGTATTTAAATCATTTAATGATGACATATCTAAAATAAAAATTTAAATAAGCTTTTTTTTGGTTTGTCGTTAGAAATCATAACAAAAAATATTAATCTATGATGAATAAAATTTTTGTGTTAGTAACTAAAAATAAAAATTAAATAATTAAGTTAATATGTTTTCGAAAAAAAAAAAATTCGAAATAATGTGAAGAGTTCACTAAATGATATGGTATCGATTCTTATGCCATTATAAATAGGAATGTTTTTCGAATTCTTTTATTCTGCGTCATTCGATAAAATGTTACTAAAAACAGCAAAAAAAAATTTTTTTTCTTCTTCTAAACATTTTAACCTTGAGTGTTAGATGCTGAGCGAAGTTATTAATTATTAGAGAAAAATATTATGTGGAAGATAGGGATTATAAAATCATATTTTATACTACAGGTAAAACAGGCGTAAAGATTATTTTATATCTAAATTCTAGATATAATAAAAAGTTCTATATTATTAATTTAAAAAATACATAGAGATAATTAATAAATAAATTACATCATCTCTGTTGTAATGCTTTCGAATAAATAGAAAATTATTATGCATCATTGAGATAATGAAAGTATAGTCAATATCAATTTACTATTTAAATACACATATATAAATTTCCTAAGATATGAAACACTTATACATTATGAATGCATTTTCAAAATAAATGTTAAACTAAATGAAGTCATGTAGTAATACATAGAATTCATCACATCATTATGTGAAAAAATCCAGTATAAAATAACACTTTCATATACTTTGTCTTTCTATGTTTTTTGGTTCATTTTATGAGAAAATTATTTCAATTTAAAAATGACTTTCGAGTTCGGACTCTGTGCATAAAGTAGATCGTAATGAAGTATTGAAAATACTAAAAGAACAAGGGTTCTGTGATCTTAGCTACAAAGTTATAGCCATTCTACTGAAATTTTCAGGACATTCTAGTTACAATTAAATGCAACAAAATAACTAAAGCTTTATAAGAATAGGAATTTATCTTTTTGGAGTTTGTAATACTTCATTGTGGTTTACACATCATTAGTATCTGACATTAAAGGTTAAAATATCTGTAAAGAGAAGTGTTTTTGATGATAGTTCATCTAATGACGCATAGCAAAACAATTCGATGTATAGCCCTAGTATTAGTTATGATCTGGAATCTAGAAAGGCATATGAGCATCTGAAAACAAGATATTCAGAATCAGCATAGTGCATTGCATACAGTCAGTCATTTTTCAGAGAAACAGGCATTCACTATATAGCGGACTAGTCTCGTAAATATTCAATCGATGTCTAAAAACGAAACATTAATGTTTCGAATATTCTATATAAAAGAGAGAAATTGAGAACACTTCAAAATATGATGCTGGTATCTTCATTATCAACCAATGATTAGTTTATAAAGTATTTATTTTAAATACGCAATAAATTATTGTATGAATGAGAGCAAAAGATGGAAAGAATGTATCGAAACATACCTAAAAGATGAAGAGGTAGTGTACATATACTGAAATATGATGATGATATGACAGATAACTTATCAGTATATGTCTAAGTTTATTTCATATGAATAAGAAAAAAGTGCGCCTAGAAAATAACGATCAAAACTCAATGAATTATAAATAAACACAAAAACAGAAAAATGACAAGAAATTTTATTATATTAATATTTCTCAATTGTCTCTATTATTGTGTTGTATAGCATTAGAATTATTCTATTTATGAAGAACTACTTAACGATCAATTGAAATTTAAACATTAAACAATGTCGTCAAATTAATTAGACCAATAATCATGTATTACAGAAGTTCTACGATTTAAGATAGTCTGCGAAGAGTGTGCCGATTTCCTATTAATTGAAAATTTGTCTTATTTTTAGCAGTTAAAATTCAAAAAATCAATATATAATAAGAGTTTGCTCACTTTTTTTTCAAGATACGAAAGTCTATGAAATTTTTCTCAAACAAAACATAGAGTAAAATGAAAACTGTTTTTGCTTTGCAAAAAGTAAATAATTACTCACCTCAAACCTTTATCATATGAAGGCAACTTTCTTCCTCAAAAACAATGAAAGATAAAATAAAGTTTCTTTTTTTGTTTTTTTCATCTTATAAAGTCTTGTTTAGTCGAAAAAGAAACCTACGGCACACTCTTCCAATTTTCATTAGTACGAAATATCTCTATATCATTCCTCTTCACTAGTTCATTATTTCTACTGTTATAGAAAAAACACATATATTCATATCGCTTCAATTTAATTGTTTTAAATAATATAAAGAGGTAAATCACTTACCTCAAATACAAAAATCATCAATCTATATAAATCAAGACATATTATTGATCGATTGTCAATATTCAACAATGCAACTTAATTATTTCAATTTGATCGATTACAATTGAATAGAATGAAAATCTGTTACCAATATTCATATTTGTCTATTTACTAATAATCCACTATTGTTTACTAAATATTGATTTATGAAAAAAATATATATATTTTAAAACAACAATCTGAAAAATATATATGTATAAATTCATTTCATAGGAATCTACGTTTTTTTTCTTCTTATCTTTGAATAAACACACACACACACACACAAACATGAACAAATTTGAGACAAATAATAGTGGTTTTTCTTTTTTGTCATATAATAAAAATGAAAACGCATATAGAATATTCAAAACTTGTTTGTGTTGTTAATGAACCAACAAACAAATTGAATTTTTTTGTTTTAGATATTATTGTTCAAAATCATCTTCACTAATTGGTACATTGAAAAGAATATATTCTTGTTCACTAAGACAAGGTGCCATTTGTTCAGCAATAAAACGATTTGGTCTCGGTTCAATACGTTGTTGAAGATTAAGTAAATTTGTTATAGACTAATAAGAAAAGAAAAATTATTCATTAATAAATTTTATATTAATTTCAACATTTTTCATACTTGATTACCAACAATAATTCGAACAAAATGTAAAGGCCTATAAAATAATAAGGAAAATTTATTTATTTATTTTTTTTACTAATTCTTCTTTTCTATAAGATGATTTATTTTCTATAGTTCAGTTCATTATAGTTATTTTCTCAAAAATTAGAAAATTTTAAAAATAAGACTAATTAATAATTTCATTATAGATTACCATTGTTCAGTGCCTTCTTCTTGATTAACAAAATGAACTTCAATAATTTTTTCTGTTACTTCTTTTTTAAACATTTGAATTGTTTCTTCTGGCCATATTGGATCATTTTCAGTTTGTGAACGAGGAAATGCCTAGAAGAAAATAACTATTTTCTTTTTTTTTTTGTGTGTGTGTCTTTATACTTCTGATAGACTACAACCAATAGCTTGTGCTGGTAAATCTATAAATAATTTATGTATTGGAAAAAATTCATTTATAGATTTAATTTCAATATTTCCAAAATCAACAAAAACAATTTTTATTTGATCATGTTCTTCACATGTAATTAAACGTGCTCGATACCAACGATTATCTTCACTATATTTAGCAACACCAAAATCACCAATAGCTATATTTTCTAATGATATTAATTGATGTGAAGTTTCTAAATCATTATAATAATTACTATCAAAAACAAAAAAATAGAAAACTATTTGATAATAATAATGATTTTTTTGTATTTACTGAAGTTCATTTTGCATTTGACTAAATCTTTCATAGACTTTTGGATCCAGATTTTCAACATAAAATCCTGATAAAGAATCAATTATATCAATTTTTGCTTGTTTCCATTTAGTACCAGGTGGAATACGTTGTAATTTAACTTTTTCTTTGCCACCTTTGATCAACAACAACAAAAATAATTTTATTTATATAGCAATTTAAATTCCTTACGAGGTACATGTGAATCTTTATAATTTAAAATCATTTGATTAGTTGATGAAGTTACCAAAGGTGAAGCTTCATGATGCAATTGTACTGGAACTGTATTATAGGATGGTAGTGTTGAACGAGTCTATATAAAAATATCGATTAAGTATTATTAAATAAAAATACACGACAAAGTGTATATGTGTTATTTTCATTGTTGTAAAGTGACTAAAGAAATATGTCCGAAGATGAATTATACACACTATTGAGCAGAAGTCCCTGGACGTATGAAACTTCGAGTGAAGATCAATCGTTTTTCATGATATTTTTATCAGAGATGCAGCTTGAAAAACTATGATCGTCAATACCAATTCGAGCTCGAATACGCTGAGTAAAAGTAGAGTTAGAGAACAAATGTTGCTTTCAGTCCGGTAAGTACAATTTCGATATTTAAAGAATTTCTCAACCGGACTCATCCATTATTTCGAACTTTCTGCTTGCTATGTTTATGAATATCACCAATTTCTTCTAAAAAACTTATATCGAAGATGTAACAAGCAGCAGTCTTCAAAAGCAAGAGTGAGTTAGGTTGAAAATTTCTTTAACAATCGAGATTATGTTTACCGGACTGAAAACAGTATTTGATCTCTAACTCCACTTTTACACAGTGTATTCGAGTTCGGATTGGTACTGAAGATCACAATTTTTTGAAGTTACGTCTCTGATAAAAATATCATGGAAAACGATTGATTTTCACTCAAAGTTTCATACGTCCAGGGACTTCTGGCCAGTAGTGTAGATGATAAGGAAATCAGATGAATACTTCTATTTGATTTATTGTAATGAAACTTTTAATAGAAAGATCAAACTTATGATCATTATTGCAAAACCGAAAATCTAATCTTATGTTTTATCTTCATCTTCAATTTCGAAGAATTAGATCTCATCAATCGTAGATCTAGGATTTTGATTACTAAGGGCAATCATAATTTCACAACATATTTCAAAATCCAATGGAAATTCTTATCAATTGAATTCTGAGTGCTTCTCTATTGAGAAAAATCAAAAAATAATTTGTAAGGAAAGAACAATACGAGATACTTTTCTTCTGACTTTTTTCAAACGATTCGAGTCCTTCGAATTCGAAATTGACCGAGTCCACGAACAATCCTA